TTTTTTTTACGTAATTTCTACATCCAAGGTGGGGCTCAGCTTATGACCGGGAGATGAAGAGTCACATACTCTACTGACTGAGCCAGCCAGGTGCCCCTTAACAGCTTTGTTGAGATGTAATTCACCTACCATACAATTCACACATTTAAAATGTACAGTTCAGTGGCTTGTAAAGTATGGCAGGGTTGTGTACCCATCACCACAGTCTATTTTAGTACATTTCATTACCCCCAAAAGAAACCCCCCTCCCTTTTGCTGTCACCCCAAATGCTTCAGCCTCCAACCTCAACCTTAGACAACCACTAATCTACTTTTGTTTCAACAGAGTTGCTTATTCTGGACATTTCATATAAATGAGATCATACAATACATGTAGTCCTTTGTGACTGGCCTGAACAGAGCATAATATTCAAGTTTCATCCCTGTATAGCATATTATCAGTATTTTATTTCTTTTTATCGCCGAATATTCCATTGTATTGATATACTACATTTTATTTATCCAGTTGATGGACATTTGAGGTTGTTTCCACTTTGGGGCTATTATGAATAATGCTGTGATGAATATTCATGTACAATTTGGGGGGGGGGGGAACATATGTTTTTCTTTCTCTTGGCAGATACTTAGGAGTGGAATTGCTCGATCGTGTCCCAACTCTGTTTCACTATTTGAGAGACTGTCTCAGAACTTTTTTAGATTGTTTGAATCATCATCCAAGTAAAATTCGTATGTTGTGATTTGTTGCTGTATCCATGAAGAATCTTTTGGGGTACTTGGTGGCTCAGTTGGTTAAGAATCAGACTCTTGATTTTGGCTCAGGTCATGATCTCACAGTTCGTGGGACTGAGCCCCATGTCAGGTGGCACGCTGACAGTACAGAGCCTGTTTGGGATTCTCTCCTACTCTCTCTCTGCCCCTCCCTGCTCAATAAATAAACTTAAAAAAAATTTTTTTTAAATCTTTGTTTATTTTTGAGAGAGAGACAGCGTGTGAACAGGGGAGGAGCAGAGAGGCTAGAATCTAGGGAAAGCAGAGAGGGAGGCATAGAAGGCCCAGGCTCGAGCTGTCCATAGAGCGCAGAACTCAAACCAGAACTGAGATCCATGCCTGAGCAGTCGGACACTCAACCGACTGAGCCACCCAGGTGCCCCTAAATAAACTTTTTTTTTTTTTTTTAAAGAATCTTTGAACTTGAGAGGAGTAAACCAGAAGAGACTCTTTTTTAAAAAATTTTAATAAAATAGTTTTATTTAACCCAAGATTGCCAATCCATTTGAACATGTGACCAATATAAAAATTGAGACATTTTTATATTTACTAAATTAATCCAGTGTGTATTTAAAACTAATAAGCCGCCGGTTGTGCGGTTAGGCCTGGGTGGCCCAGTCTCGTCCGATTCAGCCGGTTAATCTACGATACGGGTCCGGAGTC